CGCTGTTAAACTGTGTGTATGACACGTATACTTATAGGGTAGCTGTTTTTGCTGTGCAGAAAACTCCCAGTTCGACTTGCAGTACGGCCGTCCGGCGAGGCACCTTCATTGGGGTCGCGATTGGTACTTTACAGAACGTCCACGAACGAATGCTACGCGTTGTACCGCCCGCACAGCAAGCAACAAGTAGGGCGATTGCGTGTGCTTTTTTGCGACGGCGGCAACCGCCGTGTTTGTTATCTTGGGTCATGTTGTTCTCGGGTCTATGTTCGTCTCTCAATCTCTGCGGGGCATTCTATAGCCCAACAGCTACTAATACTCTTGTTTTTTTAGGTGGGGTCTGTTCTTGTGGGTCGAGTTCGTAAGGGTATCTATCTTGTTCCGAGCCTGAATTTCATGAATCCTTTTTTGGCGCATTAGCGCGTGCTGTAGCACTGGTACACGTGCTGTGCTGTTAAAGAGTAGATCTAGAATAGTACAACATGGTTGGGAACCTCTTGGTACTACCAGGTAGTCAGGTAGTCAGTAGGCTGCTGCTGATATTGGCAATGTCGTTACGCTATGTTGAAGAAGTGTTTCGGAACATTGTGAAAACACGGAATAAGGAATGCTGGAAATAGGCATACCACGTATGTAGAACATGGTTGAAATTCCGGAAGAAAGCAACACGTTGCAAGTAACCAGACTTGAGTTAGTTGAGGGATATGTACCGTCGCAAGTAAATCAGACTTGCGCGCGTCGAATAATTGAGCATTCGAATGCCTTCTGCAGCTGAATGTGCGAAGTATTTCAGTTGTTGATACTTTGTTCTGCGTTTAGTCGAACGGCAATAAAAGTAAAAACTTGCGGTTGCAAGTGCCGTACTCAATGTGCATTCCTGGCAAATGTTAGCTTACAGGTACCGTAAACTGAAAACGTGCGATTGGTTGACGTTGCTGGATAGGAATGATTCCATGACCGCGAGGATGGGCACGCACCCGCCCCATCCCCTCACTCTGCTTTTTTGGGGATCTTTGCCCCTGCGGTTTTCTGGAGAGAGCTGGCTGTCTTGTCTCACTTTTTTTATCTGTATTCTTTCTGACCTCCGCTGATCAACTTCATTTTCACCTAACCATCTTATTCTCCTTCGGACTTCTTGGGTACCCAGTGTCACTGGGGAGAGAGCAGGACGTATCTTTTCGGCAATAATTGTCAACGGCACCTCTTTCGAGAGAGCCGATAAGGAATTCACTCGTGAACATCCTCAAGCCTACATCCCAACATTAATAGTCTACCGCACGAGATATGCGTGTTTCTTGTTTGCATCGACCCCGCTAAACGGCTGACCACTGAAAAGACGTCAGTCTCGGTGCGGTTGGAAGCACACAAAAAAGCTTCCAAAGGACATGATCTAGTACCCCGTGAGGGGGTGTCACGGGGGAGGCTAAGCTAGTCTCCGGATAAATGACAGAAACGGTAGCAACAGAGGACTGCTACTTTGCAATCACTCGCGCTGTTTCCGTACTGCCTTTCTCACTGTCGCCAATATTACAACAATTTTTCGGCAGTAGCCCCGCGGCGTTTGTTGTGAGCAAAGTCATCTGACTCGAAACTCTTGTTCTCCTCCACGCCGTGTTTTCCTCACGAATCTTTGTTTTCATCGTTAGCTTTCCTCCTGTTCCTTTTTCTCCTCCTTAGTCACGCCCGAATGAATTATCTAGTACCAGTCAATGCCCTTTGGTGCACGTGTTTGTTGTTGACTGCATGCCTTGATTTTCGTCCTGTTGTGCTAGTCTTCGTTTTTATCGCCAGAAGGCTTTATTTAGCCGTCCCCCCGCCCCCCACGTCCCCCCCGGTGTTTACCATCGGGGTTGGGTTTTCGTCGCTTGGCAACGACGTTGTAAAACAAGCCGCCCCACCCGGTTTTGCCATCGGGATTGGGTTTTCGTCTCTTGGCAAAGACGTTGTAAAACAAGCCAATTCACTTCGTGAACTCGGCAACCAGGTTACCG